TCTTCTTCTTCTTCGTCTTCTTCTTCTTCTTCTTCTTCTTCTTCTTCTTCGTCGTCTTCGTTTCTTCTTCTTCTTCTTCTTCTTCTTCTTCTTCTTCTTCTTCTTCTTCTTCTTCTTCTTCTTCTTCGTCGTCGTCGTCTTCGTTTCTTCTTCTTCTTCTTCTTCTTCTTCTTCGTCTACTTCGCTTCTTCTTCTTCTTCTTCTTCTTCTTCTTCTTTGCCCCCGTTTCGAGCCCCCCTCCCCGCCATCCTCCACCAGTCTTCTTCTTCTTCTTCTCCCCCTTAGCTGCTTCAACTTCTTCTTCGGCTCCTTCTTCTTCTTCTTCTTCTTCTTCTTCTTCTTCTTCTTCTTCTTCTTCTTCTTCTTCTTCTTCTCCTCCTCCTCCTCCGCTTCTTCTTCTTCTTCTTCTTCTCCCACTCCTTCCCTTCTTCTTCTTCCCTTCTTCTTCTTCTACTACTTCTCGTTGCCCTTCGACAGTTCTTCTTCTTCTTCTCCCCCTGCCCACCATCCCTCACACCGTTTCCTTTTTTTTTTTTTTTTTTTTTCTGTCTTCAGTGTCTTGTGCCACGTGGGGCCGCGTTTTGGACCTTCCCCCGCGGCGGCCGTTTCCCCCAACTTTGTCTCGCCCAATCTTTCTTCCTGCCATACTCCACCCTTCTTCTTCTTCTTCTTCTTCTTCTTCTTCTTCTTCTTCTTCTTCTTCTTCTTCTTCTTCTTCTTCTTCTTCCGCCTCCTCCTCCTCGTCCTCCTCTTCTTCTTCTTCTTCTTCCACATACACACCTGCAAGGTCTGTGTTACATGCCCAGTTGGGCGATGTACATATAAACCAAGGAAGGATCTGCAATGTGATGAAAAGGACTGAATGGACAATGCAGTGCAAGTGAAATCTCAACAAGCAGTGTACATTCTGATATATACAAAATGGTGCTGTACAGCGCAGTGGAAGACTTCGATACAAGTCCTGACCTGACCGGGACTGACCTCTTTCACGTAGTACAAGATAGTGCAGCAGAATACTAGAATACTAATGACTAACCCAATCAATGTTACAACGCAGACAAAACATACATCATTCTCACCACACGGTGTGAAGGGAGCCTGGCGCTATACACAGGAAGAGGCGCCAGGTCCATTTCATGCTCAGACGAAGAGGAGAGGATCAGAAGGAGAAGAGGAGGGGAGAGATGGGAAAGTCGTCAACACCAAGTCTCGTTACAAGTCCCAAATAATCCCTCGTCCAAATGTCTGAAGTCCAATGTGGATTCTGGATCCAAATGTCACCAAGCTCTCTCTCTCTCTCTCTCTCTCTCTCTCTCTCTCTCTCTCTCTCTCTCTCTCTCTCTCTCTCTCTTACACACACACACACACACACACACACACACACACACATAGTCTGCTGATGCAGTGAAGTCAGATAACGAGAGGGTGAGAGGGAGATGGTGGACTGAGAAGAGGAAGAAGAAGAACTCTCTCTCTCTCATATGCCAGATACTAACCTGTGAAGGTGGCGCTGTGCTGCAGGTACCTTGAAGACGAAGCTAGAGCGATGGCGCTGCAGGTAAGTCCCCCTGGCCTCCGCCCCATCTCTCCCTCTATAGTATTACTCTAGCTGCCATGGCGCCCAGCGCTGAAGACTACAGCTAACGCTACTAGCGCCCAGTGCTGAAGAATACTGCTAACGCTACTACTACTGCAGCGCTCCTCCAGAGTGCTGCTGCCGAATCCTGAAGACTACCTCCTGCCTCCTGAACTGCACGTGAAGTGCCTGGGAAGTACCTAGGAACTACCTGCAGCCTGCAGGGCGGGCCAGTCCTTTATAGTGCTGGCCCGTCCAGGAGGCTTCTCTTGCCAATGCCAAAACGTGCCAGACCCTGGGGTTGAAGCTCAAACAAAGGTTGTCTTGAAAATAGGCCAAACATG